GATAGGGCATTGGCCTCATCAGATTGATTAGCCCTTCTTATTGCATGCATTAATCAATCAATCGAGCCATTAAATGCTAGGACCCCTTTCACATCCACAAGTCCTAGCTTGTGCAAGTGGGATTTGACAGCGTAGGTGTGCAGAGGCGGCATTGGCAGTGAATTGTCTTGTCAATTATTTCACCACAAGATCTATCAAGGATTTCGCCATCACCTCGTCAGAACCGACTCCTACATAGGACGTCTGCCTAAATGAGGTCGGTCTGGTTTCGTTCCACGGGAAAGGGGTCGCCTCCATAGGTATAACGAGGTCGTCCGTGTTGTGACGTAAGGTATGAGGCCTTTATCATCTGTCACGTATTTCAATTAGCCACGATTATTTATATGAGTAGCAACTAGATAGCTAGTTTACATTTTCAAAGAACGTAGGTTCTACCTGCTCAATTCATCAATCTACCTATTAGCCTCATTTTCTAGAAAATTGAAATCTTACAAGCAAGCAATTTTTATAGTTATCTTCATACTCAACCATCAATCGACGGTGTAGTTAAGCAAGCTAAGCTAGTCCGACCTTCCTTCTCTTCTACTCAAGCTTTATACTTCCCAAAACATCAATTGGCATTACATCAGTAACACAAAGAATATGAATCATCCTACTCGAAAATTGATTATCCTACACTAATGTCGTCTATAAAAGAGCGTACACTGATATGGTACAACAATTCCACACAAAGTATTTCAGTCTAAATATCAATGTCACCTAACACATTCAATATAAACAATATATTATAACTAAAACAAATATTTCAATTCATTCATTTTTATCAAACACTTTAACTATCTTGATTATGCTACAATCGCCGATGACAAAAGAGAGAGAAAAACTCACAAGTAAAATAGATTGTCATGATTCAAGAGAATATTAGCTAGACACTAACGGAATAGAGTTTATCAACGTTGTATGATTAAAGGGAAAAATATCAACAGATGGAATTCATATGGAAAAGACAATATTTATAGTATTTTTGAAAAAAGTAATGTTATTCGCAGTCGCTCGTTACGACTATCGCCCTACGTGGCATATTGCATCAAATAACCACCTATCATGTGATGTCACGTGGGACAACTGCCGTAACGAGCAACTGCGAATAACATTATTCTTTTGAAAATTTTCTTTTTTATTCGATAATGAATAGAATTCCAAAGATATACAAAGATTCTTATCTCATTCCATTCTAGAGCCTCAACTAGTAACCAATGGCAAAAATTAAAAAATCCATGGTTTCCTGGTAGAATCCTATTTCGCCCTAGGATAACTCCAATAAAGGTTTTGAACGTTTCAACCTAGTGAGATTAGGGGTTCAAACCTTTTATTTCTAGAACGCATGCTAATGAAACATGTAAGTTTAACCTTTAAATCATCAAATTTTCAAGAAAATTGTTAATTTGTGCAGCTTGATTATTGTCGTTAAGCGGAGTACATATGCAGATCAACCATAGAGTTTATGTAGACATCATAAAAAGAGAGATGCTAGAGAAAACATGGTATGCAATTTTTCTATTGATCTTTTCATCATGGTAAATTATTGCAATTGTAGGAGGACGTAATATCACATTGAAACGAATCTCAATAAATATTAGACGTTTTTTTGTGTGTATTCCCTTAGTGTGATTTTATTGTCCATGATAATATAGAATTAGAGTTTTTAATTCTCAACAAAAATAATCATTTTGTCCTTATTTTGAATTAAAATAAGAAATAAAGATAGTGAATTAAAAATGAAGACAATTTAAATGTCAACTAATGTTTTTGTTCAAAAAAGACCCGAAGCTCAGATGCTTGGAAGGGTCCTAGGTGCCTCAAATCAAAGATTCGATCATAAAAATAATATTTCTTGTACATAAGGGAGTTATATAATGATTTACATACATATTGTGTGTCAAAAATAGAGTAGAAATTTTTTATTTTTTTTATTTTTTGCTGAAAAAGTTCTAACACANTCAAAAATAGAGTAGAAATTTTTTATTTTTTTTATTTTTTGCTGAAAAAGTTCTAACACAATTATATCTCACCGCATATAATAATTTATATAATGGTTTACATACATATAGCACAATCGATATCATCATAAAGTTTAAAGTTTCAGGACTCAGGTGGAATTCTCCGTAGTAATTAGTATATCTACTTCTGTTGGACATTATACATACAACCAACTTTGTTAGGCTATTTTGAGTTGGGCCTCAAAAAGGCTTGAAGGAAGTTCGGCCCAAGTAATTAATAGGACAATTACGGTCCATTTCTAGTCCAGCACATGACTCAAACACCGAGTTAATCTCTCTTTGAGTAAAATGTTTTATTAATGGGAAGAATACATAAATCATATCAAAAATAGAGTAGAAATTTTTTACTTTTTTTATTTTTTGCTGAAAAAGTTCTAACACAATTATATCTCACCGCATATAATAATTTATATAATGGTTTACATACATATAGCACAATCGATATCATCATAAAGTTTAAAGTTTCAAGACTCAGGTGGAATTCTCCGTAGTAATTAGTATATCTACTTCTGTTGGACATTATACATACAACCAACTTTGTTAGGCTATTTTGAGTTGGGCCTCAAAAAGGCTTAAAGGAAGTTCGGCCCAAGTAATTAATAGGACAGTTACGGTCCATTTCTAGTCCAACACATGACTCAAACACCGAGTTAATCTCTCTTTGAGTAAAATGTTTTATTAATCATCCAATTTATACTTAATCACAATTTACTTGTAAAACTTCAAAATACTTTTTAGTGATTATTTATTTTGAGATATTGCACTCCATCCATCATATGTCAAATTTCATTCTCGTAATTGATGTGTCGACGAAAATCAACGTGTTATGTTATGGCAATTAAAAAATGAAAATTCAGCCGAACCAAACCAAATCAGTATGATGTTTTATTATTCAATCAACTTGTACTATGGTCAATTTTTACTCATCAGACTTCAAACTGCTTTCTAATGATCACTCATTTTTGAGACTTTGCACTTCATCCATCATTTTATACATTCAGGGTTTTGCAAATCACGTGTTTTTTTTTATCGACAAGATTTTTCAATCATATCAACCTATATATACTAGGTGCAAGCAACGAACTATGCAAGTTTGCTTAGTTTATATTTAATTTTTTTGTTTAATAATTAATTTGTTATTAATAAAGATACAAATTTTTTTGGTAAATTAAGGGCGTGTCTGGGC